GTATTTAATAAAATCAGAAATGAAAAACAGGAGGAATATGGAATGAAAATTAGAAAACTGGAGAAATAGAAAATTGGAGAAATGGAGATGGAAAACTGGAGAAATGGAGAAATGGAAAACTGGAGATGAAAAAACAGAGAAATGAAGTAAACGACCCCTATACCTTTCAGTGACTCAGTCAAGTAAGCTTTTAATGTAGTCATCAGTGTCGTCTGGTCCATCTTACTAAATTTTATGCAGTATTTATTTATTTATTATTTTTATAGATTAATTAATTTTTTTAGTACATACTTTTTTATCTATTCATACATACTTTTTTAATCTACTGAAATAGTGAACCACAAAGAGTCAGCTCCATTGAGATTTGGACCTGTCATAGCTACAGAGTCACAGACCCATGATTATGTCTCTTGACTATGAGATCTTTGACGTAGTTTAATTATTTACGCACAATTAAATTTTGATATAAGTTCACATAACCTCTTAAACCTTTTCATGTAATGTATTATAAATAGATAGAAATGCTGATCAATAAGGGCAGTTCAGTCCGGAACCACGATTCAAATTAAAATATATTCAGATAGAAATAATGTTTCACTCAATTACTTTTTTTGGAGGACATCATGCCTTAGGGGGGCGTTTGGTTCACGGAATTTTGAATTATCTCAGGTAATAGGATTACCTTTTCGGTAATGTGAGATTTTAGGAATATAAGATTATTTTATGTGTTTGGTTTGAATTGTGTAATATAATATTTACCATGTTTGGTTAAGAGTTATATTTTAGGTTATATAGATCAATTTACTATAATGTCCTCAATAATATATATATATATATATATATAGGTTCTGGTGCGGTTAGGGTGCCCAGGTGCGGTTGTGCGGTTTAATCTGGGTCATTCATCTCGCTTAAATCAACATTCAGGATTACTAAAATTTTTAAAAAAATACCGTGACAAATTTGTAATTTTTGCATCTAGGTCAAAATTAAGGTGAGCGAATCTGTGATTAATGCGCGTGAGTTTTGTGCGTAAGGTGCGTGAGGTTTGTGCTTAATGTGCGTGGGGTTGTGCTTAATGTAAGTAGTTGTTAAAACTTAAAGTCTATGAGTTAATACTTAAAGTCCGTGAGTTTTGTACTTAATGTGCGTGAGGTTGTGCTTAATGTGCGTAGATTTTGTACTTAATGTGCGTGAGTTTGTGCTTAATGTCAATAGTTGTTGAAACTTAAAGTCTGTGAGTTAATATTTAAAGTGCGTGGATTTTGTGTTTAATGTGCGTGAGGTTGTACTTAATGTGTGTGGATTTTGTACCTAATGTGCATGAGTTTGTGCTTAAGATCTAACACTTAAGATGCGTGTTTCTATCACTTAAGGTGCGCCATTTTTAGCTTATGCTTCTTTCTTCCTGACACACGTTTTTGTTTTTTTCATTGATTTGAGCCGTCGATCTAAATTTGATCAACGGCTCAGATCTAACCGCACGGGAAGCTATACCCGCACCTGAACCCTTCCATATATATATATATATATATATGTGTGTGTGTGTGTGTGTGTGTGTGTGTGTGTGTGTGTGTGTGTGTGTGTGTGTGTGTGTGTGTGTGTGTGTGTGTGTGTGTGTGTGTGTGTGTGTGTGTGTGCATTAATGCTTAAATATCAAAAAAAAAAAAAAACTAAATATATAAATGTACACACATGTATATTTGATTATATAAATATATATTTATTTCATTATTATTATTATTATATAAGGATTAGTTAACAAAGGCAAAGTTGGAATAATTCAAGCTAATCTAAAATTACCTAAGAAAATTGAGGGTAATCATATTACCTTGAAACAGTACCGGCACATCAGCTTTCAGGTAATATAACAGTACAAGGTAATCTCATAACTTGAACCAAACAAGGTAATATAACATTATCATACTCAAATTACATAGGTAATTTAAGATGATCCGAACCAAACGCCCCTAAAGATACTAAACTTATACTTTGTGCAAATTCTATTAGACCAACTTGTTCAATTGGGCAGTGAGTCATTTGGGTTGATATTTGGGCGTGACCAAACACATCCAAGCCTACCCATCACCCCTCTAATAGTTATGCTGTGCAACCGAATACACCATGCGCATGATACATACGATGCAAAACAACGTCGTTTTGACTAAAAACGCGCGTCTCACTTAAAAAAAATTCAGGTTCGATTCTCGGCAATAGTATTATTGTGGATATATAGTTATGAATTTTTGGATATATAGTTATGAATTTCTGGATATATAGTTATGAATTTATGGATATTTAGTTCATTCATTGTGGATATTTAGTTCATTCATTGTAGATATTTACTTCATTCATTCACTGTGGATATATAGTTATGAATTTATGGATATTTAGTTCATTCATTGTGGATATTTAGTTTAATCATTGTGGATATTTAGTTCAAATTCATTGTGGATTTTTACTTCATTCATTCACTATGGATATATAGTTGTTGATTTTTACTTCATTCATTCACTGTGGATATATAGTTATGAATTTGTGGATATATAGTTATGAATTTATGGATATATAGTTATGAATTTATGGATATATAAAAATGCTATTGCCGGAAATCGAACCTGATTTCTTCTTTAAGTGGGACGCGCGTTTTTTTTTTTTTTATAACTAAAACGACGTCGTTTTGGATCGAATGCACCATGCGCATGGTGCATTCGGTTGCACAGCATAATTTGCGTCACCCTTTTAGATCATCCTTATCAGTTGGGGATATTAGAGAGAGAATGTAAAAGTAATTATGAAAGAGAATGTGAGATGTGAGAGGAAAAAAAAAAACAAAAAGAAAAACAAAAACTCTGTGTGTGTGTGTGAAAAGTTAATGGGTCAAGCGCACCTGACGTGCCACTCGGGCGCGTGCAGTCCATTTTACTGCAATAACTCCATCCCTTGCAGATTTTTCCCACTTTTCTCTTTCATCCCTCTCTCTTCTCCACTACGACTTACTTTTTTTTTTAGAAATTGTGCATTATCCACTATAGTGGATGCTCTTAGTCGATTTTATGATCATTGGGCCTATTAAATTGAATTTGGGCCAATCAATACAGAGCCAATAGTTGTTGTGTGGTCCGTGATCCAAAAACAACGTCATTTCGTTAATATTTTTTTTTTCACGCGATCCACTACAGTATACATTTTTAACTCATAATGTACATTATTCTAAACATAATATACATTATTTTAACTCATAAAATACATTAGCTTACCTCATAAGTTTCATTATTCTAACACATAATGTATATTATTCTAATACATAAAGTACATTATTCTAACACATAATATGCATTATTCTAACTTACAAAATTCAATGACATCTTTTTAGACCGTGATCCACACAATAATTTGTCACGAGGAGCAATGGAGCATTATATACATATCAAATAATAAACAAAAATAAAAATTTGCGGCAAAGACTAATCATATTTTTAATTAATTGCCTTCAAAATTTTTTTAATTAATATATATATATATATATATATATATATATATATATATATACTAACCCTATTATTTTTATCATTTTACTGGACGTTTGATTGGAGAGGGAGAATTACGTGAGAAAGGAATTGTAATTTCATGGGAGATGAATTACTGGAAATAAAGTGGAAATTTAAATTCCAGTATTTGGTTGATAGGAATAGAATTACTGGGAATTTTAATTTCAATGTTTGGTATATATGGGAATTGAAAGGGAATAAGTAGTATAAAGTAAAATAATGTCCATTGTTGTTGTTAGGCATTAATTTTAAGTTAAAAAAGGAAGGGGTAATTTTGACTCATCATTATTTTTTTTCTTCCTAAAATCCCAGGAATTAAAATCCCGAGGGGGTAGAGACAAGGGGATTTTAATTCCATGAAAATGGGAAAATTACAATTTCTTTCAACAAAACAAAGAAATTTTGTGCCTTTGAAATTAGATGAGAATTAAGTGGGAAGAAAATTTAAATTCTGTTCAACCAAACGCCCTGTTAATGTTCGAGCTCCATCGTTAAACATTGCAAGCAACAATTATGCATGATGGACAGTTAGCTTAGTAATTGTTGGGAAAAATCCCACTATCTATGACAAATGAAAATCACAGAATCGACAAGAGCACAAATACGTGATAGTACAAGATAGTCAAAATAAATAACATATACAAGGGACACACGATTTATTGAAAAACCACAAAACTACGGGGAAAAACCACGGGACCACCACCATCAAAATATTCCACTATAATAAATATTGGGTACAAAGTTCCTGGCTACCACACGAGCCAAACATCCAAAATCATCAAATATACCAACACTAGGTCAAATACATATATTCTAATTCACAGACTAAAATGAATAATATCTCATACCCAAAATATTTAACCACCACGAGAAGGTGAACATAATATAAATATTACGAGATTACCTAAAAAACGTCTGAAATAAATACAAACTAACTTCAAAATATTTGAAGAAGATAATACCCAAGAGCGGTTCGACGAACTCACGGCAAGCTGTATCCAAAGATGAAAGTAGAAGAAAATAATTTAATTATTTTTCTTCTTTTCTTCCTACTGCCGAAATAGATGTGTATGTAGAATTGTGTGGAAACTTTGTGGAAGTTGTGAAATTCTCTCTATTGAAGCATGAGCACAGCATCCCTTTTTATAGATAGGTTCTGCCGACATAAGAAGGGAAAAGGGGGAAGAAAGTAAGTGCAGAAAAATTATCTTCAAACTTCTATCCAAATTCCTTCTCTCCAACTTCTACCCAAAACACTTTCTCCCATAATAATTAATAATTTTCAGAAAAACTTTCTTAAGAAGCAAACAAATATTATAATAAATATAAATTGATTTAGTCTAAATTGAGCTGTTTATTATATAAGAGGGAAGCTCAATTCCAACCGTAACAAATTCTTAACCCAAATTTTAAGTTGGCTTGAAGTTAGAAAAAGATAAAAGATGCACCAACTAATTGGAATCATATGCAACGATGAACCATTTTATTTATTTATTTTTAAGCAAAATGGTACATTTATTATTGTTAATCATTCGGAAAAACCCCAAATCTTGCCGCTTAATCATTGCCGTTCGTTGCTCTTATCTCCATAGTCTTTGTTCATTCTTGTCTTCTTGGTCTCAATCATCCTTGATCGAAACGTGACCATTTTCCTTCACACCATTTGCAGCCGCCATGGTTTCTTCTAAGCTTTTCTGTTCATTTTCTTCTGCCGCCGCTGCCTTTCTCTTCTCCTCTTCTTCTCCCTCTGCTTTCAGTCTCGCGTCTTCCTTAGCTTTCTCCAGAGCCTGAACCAGTTTCTCCAGACACGTAGTCTCGTCGTCCTCGGCCGCTTTGGGCATCAAATTCTCCGCAACATCCGCCGGCGTCATGCCGGTCTCGGTCAACAACCGCCCCACCGTCGGGAAAAGCTCGTGGGTTTGGATTCCTAAGTAGTTTTTAGCCAGGACCTTAAACGCTTCGAATCCGCAGTATGACAGCTCGATGTGTTTATCCATTCTTCCTCTCCGAATCAGGGCCGGGTCGAGCTTTTCCCTGAAGTTTGTGGTGAAGACGATGAGCCTTTCTCCTCCAATGGCGGACCAGAGGCCGTCGATGAAGTTGAGTAGACCGGAAAGTGTCACTTCGCTCTTCTTCTCTTCCATTTTCAGCGGATCTAATTTCTCGACGCCGGATTTATCTTTCGTCTGCCCTTCCCTCTGGCCGGTGAGGTCCAGGGAGCAATCGATATCTTCGATTACTATAATCGACTTGCCGGAAGTATCGATCAGGAGTTTTCTGAGCGTGGTGTTATCCTTCACGGCGGTTAGCTCCAAATCATACACGTCGTATCCAAGGAAATTCGCCATAGCCGCCACCATGGAAGATTTTCCGGTGCCCGGAGGGCCGTAGAGGAGATAACCACGTTTCCACGCCTTGCCGATTTTGGCGTAATAGTCTTTGGATTTACTGAACGCGACAAGATCGTCGATGATTTCTTGCTTCTTTTTCGGGTCCATAGCCAGAGTATCAAACGTCGCCGGATGCTCGAACACGACATGCGTCCACATACTTCGCCGACCGTAGTATCCTCCTTCGTCGTTCTTGAGGTTTGTGTAGAGCTTCCGTTGCCGGTCCTTCACCGTGATGGCTTTCCCTTCCTCCAAGACGTGTTTCAGGTAAGCTCCGGTGACGATTTCCCGGTACTTCTTGTGGAACTTGAGGGTGAAATACTTCTTGGCCTCATCTCCGCCTCGGCCGCTGAAACTAATGGTCTGGCGGTTGGGGACGTCCATGCCGGAAACCCACCAGAGTTTGATCCCCCGGAACTCGTCGGCAACCTGTAACATAGGTAATTAGTTACCTAGGGAATAAGGGATGAAGGTTTTTAAGTCGTCACTTTCAATTTAACCACTTATACACCATTTAACGACATGTAACATAGGTAATTAGCTACCTAAGGGATGAGGGTATAAAGGTTTCTAAGTCCTCACGGTCTAATTTAACAACTTATACACCATTTAGCGACCTATAACATAGGTAATTGGTTACCTACAGAATAAGGGTATAAAGGTTTCTAAATCCTTACGGTTCAGTTTAACAACTTATACACCATTTAACGACCTGTAACATAGGTAATTAGTTACCTACGGGATAAGGGTATAAAGGTTTTTAAGTCTTCACTGTTCAGTTTAACAACTTATACACTATTTAGACCTGTAACATAGGTAATTAATTACCTATGGGATGAGGGTATAAAGGTTTCTAAGTCCTATTCAGTTTAACAACTTATTCATCATTTAGAGTACCTAGAGAAGTGAAAGAAAACACTTCCTTATTCACGTGACTCCAAAGTAGCCCCGAGGAGTTTCTGTTAATTAGACAAAGACTCAAGCAATCAATTACGGAAGCTATGGCCGGAGATTAGAAGGATTTTATGTTTATTATCACATATTAAAGTAATTACGTGGATTATATGCTTACCTCCTCGTGATAGTCCATGCTGAGAACCAGAGTCTGCGAGTCCTTGATGTCCTCCGCCTTGAGCCGCTTCGCCTGGGCGGAGGAGTTGACGGAGAGGTAGCGCTCGATGGCTCTGTACGCTTTGCTGCCTTCGAAGCCCTCGCCGGAGAACTCATGGAAGGTGATGTGGATGTAAGGGTAGACCAAATTCCTCAATTTCGTAGCGTATTTCTTGAAATAACTTCGGAATTCGTAGGGACAATACTTGTCGAAGGTTGCCCAGAGCACCATGATTGTCACCACCGCCGACCCCATACTCCCCCACACCTCGCCCATTCCCATCATCGTCATCATCGATCTTGTCTTAGATTCTTGGATTTCCGGCGAGCGGAGACGACGCCGGCGAAGTTGGATAGCGAGAAGAAATGGTTTAACAAGTCAGGTTTTGCATTTACATCAAAACAACATAGATTAAAGTATAAGAAGTGTGGTCCAATAGGGGTGCAGAGCAGCAGAGGTGAATTAATGAATGGAAATTTTCCACGTTTTAATTGGGAGCAACCCACTGATTTAAAAATTGAATTTATACAGGTGCGGATTCCAACAAAATTTATACAACCCGTATTAACAGTTCAGTTGGTCACATGAATGAAGTTTGGAAAAAAAAGAGAGTAAATATTCAAAATGGTCCCTCAACTATAGCTAAATTCACAAATTGGTCCTCAACTTTCAATTTCACCCAATTAAGTCCTTAACTTTGTAATTTTAACACAATTTGGTCCTCTGTCTATTTGACCGTTTGTTGACTGTGATTTTTGAAGATATATATGTAATTTCATGGTCCATCGTCGGTTTTTTAAGGTTCCGGTTGCATTTCCAGACCGCACTGTTACATTTGAATCCACTATCGAAAGCAATCTACCAAACCCGGTTACCTTCTTCATCCTCCCTTTGGATTCAATGTAGTTGAATTCGTACTAGAGCAAAGAAGACGACGTGTTTCCGAACCGGTGCAACGTCATCCTGGAGGCATCCACGTGCTCCGACGAGAGCTGAAGGTTCTTCTGGAGATCGTCGATCACGGTCAACAAACGGTCAATTAGATGGAGGACCAAATCGTGTCAAAATTGCAAACTTAAGGACTTAATTGTGTGAAATTGAAAGTTGAGGACCAATTTGTGAATTTAGCTATAGTCGAGGGACCATTTTAGGTATTTACTCAAAAAAAAAAAAAACACGAATCGAGTCAATCTCTTTTTGTGCACAATAAATAAAGATTTAAACTTTGTGTTTAGCTGAATTACCATGATTTACATCCTCTTATGTTTTGTGGGGTGGAGTTGAGAATTTAATCTTTTCAGGAGAACATAATACCAATTATATGGATCAAAATCATCGTATATCTGTAGACACGTGTCATTGAAGATATGCATGGGAGACGAAAATGGCCAAGAGATGAAGATAAGGGCATAGATATATGGCCAAATTAAAGGGAGGAAAAAACACGTGAAATACCTGCATGAAATCATATACATACAAAACTCCATTGCATTGGTCCACGATTCACCGTCTTCTTCAGTGACAGGAAAACACGCAAATTATTTTTGTACGTTTTAATAATTCACCAACATTTATCTTAATATAATCTGTGTCCCCAACTTTTACCCTTTTTATTACAATATAGTTGCGAATTTTTTAGGCCATTTAAAAAAATTGTTTATTGGCCTTTACTATTGTCTCTTCTTTCCCTCTCGGCCTGTTATTTGGGAACATGCATTGTTAAAGATTTGATTTAAGCATGTTTAGTGAGGTAAGTCTATTTGGATGACAAAAAGGTCAAAAGGTAAAAGATTTGGTTTTAAAAGGTGAAAGATTTTCAAACAAATGAGCAGCACGACATCCTCATTCAATTATGAATTTGTGATCGTGGATAGTAATAGTAATAGCATAGTGGGCTTTAATGATTGGTAGTGACATTTTGAAATTAGGCCCAGACTTAGATGCATGCATTATGTTAGGTCCAATGATTGAATATCATCTAAAGAACAATGATGAGAAATGGTATAAAAAAATATCATTTGGTAATAAGTATTCGATTTTGACTAATAATAATAATTCATTAATGAATGTTATAATTAATCAAAGTCAAACTTCTATAGTAGGTCTCAAACAACCAATAATCTAATCAATTTTGACCTATCTAATATACCATATTGTTTAATTTAGATGAGTTCATAATTAATTAATTTTTTCTCAAAAGTTTAAAGAGTAAGGATGAATTCATTCCATATGTTCTCGACATGGTATGAGATCGGTTCAATTACTCAATTCGGTCAACGTAACATAATTCACTTGAATATCATGTTATCAAGAATTAATATCGTTAAATTAAAACTTGAATTAATTATCAAACATGGAGTTGAGGATTAGTTCACTTGCTTGACTACTTTCATTGCCCATTGTAAATACGCTATCAAACCCAAGGATACAAACTTTCTACACCATGCATCTAAGGTAGCTATGGGCTAGAATCATCAAAATGTTCTTAGCCCGTCCTATCCACAAAAAAAACAGCGCTAGCTTTGAATTTTATAGTCCGTATATTTTAATAGATTTTTTAGTCTGTCCCTATCATATGACGGACTTTGGCAAGCCTGGGCGGATCTCGCCCGCTAGTCTGTTTCGACAACTCTACTTCGTGCTTACACTTTACTTATACCTTTCTTTATTAATTATATATATTTAAACCATTAATCCATTTTAGACAACTATAATATAAGAAAAATGAGCAAAAGTGTATTACATGCAAATGCCCAATTGTTATGCATATGATATGAAATCGGGGCTGTCTTTTACAAATGCGATGGATTAATAATACAATTTGAGCAAATAATGGTGGCATGAGAATTAATTAATTCATAGTTAAGGCAAGGATGCATGCCTCTTGAGTGCTGCAGAATTTTGAAGCATCAGTAATTTCTTCAACATCTTCATTACTAGTAACAGAGAAAACGGACCGCCGCCGCCGCCGCCACTGGCCTTGCACATTTCCACCGCCCCTTGTTCGTCGGCACGCTTCGACCTCGAAATACCTTCCGGCGACCGAGTAAAATCCGGAGGCGTTCCGTGATTTTCGTGCAATTCCTCGTTGAAATCCTCCCACAGCATGTCCATCTTCTCCTCCGCGCCGCCCCCTGCCGCCTCGTTCTCCTCTTGTCTCCGGCTCTTCTCTTCCAGATCCGAATGGCTTTTCCGGCGCCATTTATGTCTCTCTCCGGCGACCTTCTCCGACTGGGAGGGGATTCTCCACAGAGATGGACTAGTCATGGTCATGTTGAGATGCGCCAAGTTGTTGGCGGTGGTGGGAAAGCAGAAATCTTCCGTGACCATTTCTCAAGGAAAATCTCTAGTGCTAGAAGATGCATGATTATGATATCTCATCTTACTTTCTTATATTTATATACAGGGAATAATAATTAGTTTTTGGACAAAAGTATACATAAGAAATATGTTTTATTTCATAAGATATAGGGTCCACTGGGACCGAACTTATTGACTATCTCATTTAGAAGAGTTACTTCATGCCACTAGATTCAAATTATCAACTATACTATGTAATATGAATTTTGATCTACAACTATAATTTTTTTAAAAAAAATATATTTTAACATTGAGTATTAATATTATTAGACATATATTTTTGTGCATTGCTATATAAAATACTAGTATTTATATTTATATAAATGGAATAATAATTAGTTGGGACATTAATGAAGGGGTTGGATACTTGGATCATCGCCGGACTATTCGGACTGTATTATTATGGATTAGAGCTTTGATTGTTGAAAGCTACGCTTAACCTCCCTTGCTGGCCAACCATATGATAGTGTTGTAGTTGTCCTTAATGTTGCAAACAAAAAAGAAAATAAACCCCAAATAAATACAGAACAGGGGAACACAAATATCTTTAAAATGGTAAGACCAAAAGAAAAAAATAGTCATCGGTAAAAAAGAATAAAGGTAAAATCGGAACAAATTATTTGAAAATAATTCGTAGAAAGATACTTTGAGTAGTTTCTCAAAAGCCAAAAACTTTAATTTACGGGAACTGTTATTCAAAGGTGTAAATGAAGTTGGTCTTGTAATTTTAATCAACAAAAAATAAACTAACTTAGGTTATCCATAATTGATCAGCTCAACCAAAAAGGTCAGATGACCGTTCTCACTAGAAATAGAACTTAAAACTTTGTAGAACCAAGCCAACAACCCAATAACTCGGCTTGAGTTTGCCCCTCAAAAGCCAAAAGTTAAACTTTACATAAGAAGCTATAAGCTAGCTTTTGTGCTTGTCAAACACACTCAAAAAATCAGTGCTACCTAATACTTGATTTGTGAATATAAAGATAAACACAATCACACCAAGTTTGTTGGCTTGTACATTCATCAAATAGTCAACATGTCCACAAATACTCAAATTTAGACAACAATGAAAACAGGGAAGCTTAAGTTGCAATCCTGGAAGGTTTATCAAGTTGTGCTATGGTCAATCACATCACCAAGGAATTGACTGGCCATCCCAGGCAAAGAATTTGCCATTATCGGTGCGCTTTGCGTTGTCGATGATGCTGAGGAGTTTTTGCACAGAAAACTCTTTGGTGAAAAGCTTGTCTTTGGCAACGTTTTTCTGGAATGGTTTTGAAAGATCTGTATCCACCGTGCCTGGGTGCAGCAACAAGCATATAATAGGATCTTTCTTGCGTGCAAATTCCACTGATATGGTCTTTGTTACTGCAGAAAAGGAATGGATTTTTAATAAAGAACTTTAGCAAATTGGAGTTTGGTTTCATTTTGTTGCTCAGCAGATAGCAAAGACAATAAGAAAATGAAAAGCACAAAATCCTAGTTGTCTTGGAGGGTTCTACTAAATATAGAAAAGAATCTAAGCCAATTGAATGCTGAACTAAGATAAGAGAACTATGGAAGAATATGTTTATATGTTTAGTAAAATGCAACCATACCCCAGAAATATTGAAACATAATAGCGCTAACTGCTAACAATTTTGTACGCTTACCATATTTATTACTTTTAGAAAGTAGATGAAAATAGTTTTAGCATTCATACGCAACTATGAATTTCGAAACTGAAAAGTTTAATGAACAAATGCCTTTTGATCATACACTGATTTAGTGCAGTCTTTGAAGACCTATATGAATGCCACCCTCCTAAAGCATTGTCTCCAATTGATCCAACCCTTGCACTCAAGTTGGCAACAATAGCAAAATCCCTTCCCGTTCCACACCCACCTCCAGCCTTCAGCAAAGGCCACATGTGCTGTTCATAGAAAATTGCTAAGTCCAACTTGTTAAAACCGAGATGCAAACACATTATAAAAAAGAGAAATCAAGTGATGGTACCTTGATAACCAAAATAGGACCAACAGCATTGATATCATAAGCAAGAAGCAACGATGACCTCTGTACTTTGGTCAGTGTCGTTTCTGTACTGAAAATTCAGGAAAATAATGGCTCACTTAACCAGTTAACCTAGTCAAGAACCAAAAAGATGAAACCAAGCTATGATATAGAGAATGTGTTTTGCATGATCAAAGCTGTTGCTAACTTCAACATTCATAAAAACATACAAATCCAAAGTAACAAAAGAAACATATGTACCTGGCTGCAGAATGTCTGGTATTGAAAGAATGCCAGATGCATTAATAAGAAGGTTTAAGGAGCCATACTTGTCTCTAACTGCATTTGCAGACTCCTGCAGTTTGGCATTTGTTTATGATATATATTATAGGTAGTGCAAAAATACCCCCTCACTAACAAGAAATCAAATAGTAAGTTCAGTGAGCAAGCTTAATTTTATATGCCCAAGGTTGTTCGAGCCCCAGTGGGGACGGTATTGACTCTTTGTGCTTCAGTAGATTGAAAAAGTAATTATGAACAGATACTACATTGTAACAGAGTCAATAGTACTCAAATATATATATATATATATATATATATATATATATATATATATATATATATATATATATAAAAGAGTCCAATTACATATACTACATTGTTTCAGAGTCACTAGTTCAATTGCGTCTCATTTTTTATGGAAATATTTCCAACTCAATGGGTGTTCAATTGGGTAATTCTAAAGTTTCCAGCTTTTCCTCTATACAGATACCTCTATAGTGCTTTCAATTGTAAGGTCCAAGGGATGAATATCGAGGCGATCGGAGAACTTGTCTTTCAATTCCAGAAGCCCTGCAGCTCCATTAGGGTTCCGGCAAGTTGCAATTACACGCCCTTCACTTTTTCTCTCTAACAACTGCTTGACCTGCAACGCTAAGAAACTCAGCCGAAAGGTCCAGAATTCAACAATGACGAGGTGCATAGGATTGAAATGCAGAGTGATTTGGCGAAAATGCAAGCACATTTTGTGAACTAAATTGATTAATTCTGTAGAAAGTAAAGAGATTTTTCTTACGAATTCAAGGCCAATCCCTCTAGAAGCTCCTTGAACCATCGAAACGCCACCGTTCCATTGTTTCGAAGCAGATGAGAATGGCGACGTGGAGAAGGGGGATGCTGAGGGTAGCCTGATATACGGCTTCGCCATGAAAACAATGCGGCGGCCGACAAGGTTAATCAGATGCTTATTCATTTCTATCTCGCTTCCTAAACCGCCGGAAAATAATGATCGGTGAGATGGGTTGTTTTGGCGGTTAACAGAAGGCCGCGCCATAAGGTCGTTAGCATTCTCGGAGGTGATCATGCCACGTAACTACGTAATTTGGGCTTCTCTTTGGCCCACGTAGATTCCGCTAAGGCCCTAACTTTACCGCAATTGCTAACGCACTCCGGCCTTTTGATCCACGTATTCTCAAATTTCATTTTAGGCTCCGTTTGGAAAGCATGATAATGATAATGACTTTTGAAAATATTTTTTAAAAATGAGTCATTTTTCATAAAATAGTTTTCTTTCTGGTATTTGACTACACAACAAAAAATGATATTTGTGTGTTTGGTTCATTTTCTAGAAAATGAGTAGAGAAATGAAAAGAGTTGAATACTTCAAAATTTAATTATTTGATACTTTTAATAAAATCTTTTTGTGAATTGCACTCTTTTAATATATAATAGTTTTTTACGCGCATTGCGCGATTGGATAATACCTATTTTTTTTTTAAATAAGTACTTTAAAGTATATCAATGCAAGATTATATTGGAATTGTTCATACATAGATAATTGAATGTTGAATTTGCGTATTTAAGTAGGTAATTCTAAGTTTACAAATGCAAGATAATATAGTCAAAATTGTTTATAATTGTCAATAAAATAATTGTATAGGTATGGTTGAAACTAAATACGGGACATAAGGGAGAACAAATAAAAATTATGGCATAAAATATTAAATATATACTAATATTGAAGAGCTAACTGCTGATTGCCAAACAAAGACATTTCGAGGTAATTTTTCACTTCAATTTGTTGTGTGATTATAATACTCTTGTTGTCAATATATCCGCGAAGTAGTTAATATGATTGACTTTATTATATTTTTTATTTTTTAAACAATTATTATTATTATTATTATTATTATTATTATTATTATTATTATTATTATTATTATTATTATTATTATTATTATTATTATTATTATTATTATTATTATTATTATTATTATTATGTCATTTTACATGTTAATCTAAATAGCTAATTTTTTCAAATATCTTTTTACCGACCGTAGATATAATTCGCTGGTCAAATTCACTAACGCTAACCGCTAACTGCTGATTGCCAAACAAGGACATTGCGAGATAGTTCTCACTTCAATTTGTTGTGTGATTTGAATAATGTCTTTGTCAACAAATCACTCAAGTAGTTAATATGATTGGCTTTATTAATTATATTTTTTAAATTTTTTTCATGGTATTAATAAAATACTTAGTAAATAAATATATATCATTATTTTATATTATAGCGAATATAATCAATTGATAAATTTGAATGTAAAGAATTTTTACATTGGAGAAAAATAAAGACAATATGACTAATAAAATTATTTATCTTAATTAATTTATTGATAATGAATATTTTTTTTAATAAAAACATTGTAGGGACAATGTAGCGAATATAATCAATTGATGAATTTAAATGTAAAGAATTTTTATATTGTAGAAAAAAAAAACAATATAACTAATGGAATTATTTCTCTTTTTAAATTTATTGATAATGAATAATTTTTTTTTGAATAAAGACATTGTAGACATATAATTCTAAAGGGAAAATGACACTTTTTACCCCTGAGTTATATACTTATAGCACTTTTTCCCCCTCAATTATTTAGGTAAGCACATTAGTCCCCTCAATTATTCTAAAAGTGGTG